TTTTTGAACGCAACTGAAAAGTGACTATTTTAATTCACAGTAAACCGTACTGACTTTTATATCATAGACATGCAACTTACATGGTTTTTTTTTTTAAACTGAGAGAGGAAATTTTGATCTTCATTCATGTCAAGTCGAAAAATGTAATCCAATGTCCACCAAACTGAATAGAAAACATAAAATGTCGGTGTAAACAGCACATTGGAAGAAATAATGAAAGTAGCTTTCCCTTAGCACCTGACATTGACATCTATAGGATCATTAAGTACATTTTATCTAAATAGATTATTTTTAAGGTAGAATACGAGCAAAGTGTAGTCTTTCTGGTATAATGTCCCTCCCTCCCCCACCCAGTTTATAAATGTTTACGAGTTTATTAGTAGTTTATTTACGTCGTAAATCATAATGGAATTATGAAATTTTTTCTGCTTAGCGTATAGGTTGATCAATTTTCCAACTAAGGCTGGAAAGAATGATTATGTTTATGTGTACTGTACGGAGCAGAGCAGAACACAACTATCAGTTTTATTTAAATTTTGAAGTGCTTTGGTACCGTGGCCAGATTTTAATGGTACATTTCAACTATGTGCAAATTATGTAAATTTTTATTAAATTAAGATAGAAATTACATGAATCTCAGCCAAAAATGATACTGTTGGTAGAATAAATATTTACAGATAGCGATTTTTTGGAGCAGCTTTAGAATTTTTCGACTATTTCTCCAATTTGAATTTACAAGTCAGTTTCGACCTACACATAAGGTCGATCACTTGTTATACGAATGGCTTCGTATTGTAGTAATTTTTTCCCGAACTACTTCGTATTGTAGTACATTTTTCCGAACGGCTTCGTATTGTAGTACATTTTTCCGAACGACTTCGAATTGTAGTACATTTTTCCGAACGGCTTCGTATTGTAGAACATTTTTCCGAGCTGGTAACACAACATTCAGTCCACTATTTCACAACAATGTTAAATAAATCAAGGTGCACTTAACTCCAAATCTGCACATTTCATCATAAGTTTTTTTTTTTTAAACATTAGCTTTATCTTCGATATATTTCTCGCTGTTTCAGATAAATTATCATAAATCAACCTACATGTTTTTATAATCTTTCTTAAAATTAGCCACAAATATTCAGATGTTCATTTTATTTACTTAGATAATATATGTAAATGATAAACATTCCCAGACGTTAGCAATTGTAAAATAGATTTGTCCTTTTTTATTAAAGAGGACATACAAGCCCGTTCGTTAACCAGGCGGTAAGTTAAATTAAATTATCTTAAATATTTTTCATTTCTTACGTATAGGTTTACCCCAAAAAAGACGCGAGCAATGATCTTCAAAGTGATGTGAGGTTGTCACTCACCTTCGTTTATCTTAATCGAAAATAACAAGGATACCTCACTGAATAGTTCACATCTAACATATCGAGATAGATACCGTAGTTACAAGTAGGAATGTTCCGTATCATGACTTATCCCTTAAACAATTACGGTAAGGTTCGCTTGAGAACCAAATTTCTAAGAGACGACTCCAAATTTTCGGTTGTTAACTTTCAATTTTCATGTACACACATTAATATCACAGAAGACAACAGATATGTTCCATTTGTCGAAGCCACAATACATTTCTCCTTTCTCGTTTATGCGGTTTTGTTAACCATAATTTTTATGTACAAACATTAATATCACAGAAGACAACAGATATGTTCCATTTGTCAAAGCCACAATACATTTCTCCTTTCTCGTTTATGCGGTTGCGACTCAAAACTTGAATTTTACCTGTCATGAGCAATACGATGGGTACCACTTTTGAAACATGTATTGATTTCCCTTCCGGAGCACCTGAGTTCACCTCAATTTTTTATGGGTTTCGAGTTTGTCTGGTTTTATTTTTCAGTTAATATTTTTTGTGGACTATTGTTTGTTTTAGTGTCCTTTTTGTCTTTTTGGGCTATGGTGTAGTCTGTATAACTTCGCAGTTTTGTTTTTAATTTCCCCTTTGAAATCTTATTACCTGTTGTTTAAGATATGAAAAATCCATGTTTAACTAAAGTAATTTGGTAGTGCCATTCTGAATAAAAAAAAATAGAAATTTCACTAGCCCATCCATCACTGAAGATAGAGCAAGTTTAACTTGAAGAAAGAAGTTGCGGATCAACAATAGTCCCTTTTTTTAGGTATTGGAATGCCCATGTTTTTTCTTTGCTTTTGGAACACTCACTTTTACTCTTTACCAAAATAAATATTAGGTATGAGGTGCGATAAGGTTATTAAGATTCTCAGATGTATTTCGCTGATATCTATTAAGTTGAAGAATGTAAAATACGGATAAACACAGGGAAGATCGAAAGAACGAATTCACAAACGAACAAGCGAATGAACCCACAGACGCTTATCGCGATTATGGAGCTACCATTTGATTTTTATGGGGGGGGGGGGGGGGGGGGGGGGGGGGGGCTAGGATGAAAAATGTTGTCCTGCATTTTTTTTTTAGTTGTATCCTGACTTTTTTTACATAAATTGTCATCCTGCCTTTTATTTTGCAAAGTTGCTCATCCTGCCTTTTTTTTACTCAAAACTCCTGTCCTGCCTTTTTTTCAAATTTTATCCTAGCCCCTCCCCCCATAAAAATCAAATGGTAGCTCCCTTAATTATAATCATCTGCTAAATATATTGAACAAATAGGTGGTGTCTGACAAACAACCAAAACAGTTGTTAAAATTGCTGTCTGTCATATATGTTTTTCGTTTATTGTTTGGTCGTAAATCAGGCCGTTGGTTTTCTCATTTTTTTATTAGTTCACATTCTGCCATGTCGGGGCCTTCTACAAATGACTTATAAAACGTCATTGGTTTTGCTCATTGATGAATGCTGTACAGTGACCTATAATGGCGTACACCTACGTAATGTGGACTCCAGTGGATAGTTGTCTCATTGTCACCCTACCACATCTGCTTATTTTTATATTGTATGATAATAAGATCCATTTAACACAGGTCGCTAAAAACTTAAACACATATATTTTTATGCACCTGTCATCTAAATGCATTTTTTTTTATTATAGCTACTGCAAATATAAACCTGGGGCCTGTTTATCGAAGCGCTCTTAGGACTATGACATGTCATTAGATCATCTTAGGACATATCTTTGTCCTAAATGGGTTTATCAAACATGTCGTAACTTAGGAAAAGTCATAGGAATCGTCCTAAGTATAAAACACCTATTTAGGTGTCTTAAGATGGTTTTAGGATAGTCCTAACTTTAGGATGTATTCTATGATGATAAATGTATAATTAAATACGACGACCGCCTGTATATGTTTATTTAGGGAGCAGTACAATTAATATATAAATAAATCACATTAAATAAATAAAAAAAAGGTTAAAATATGAAAGAATATTTTCTTTAAAAAAGTCAAAAAAACAAAAAACAAAAGATTCAGAAAAAGGGCTCCCCAAGCGTCTGTGATCCGTTATGAAATAATTTATGTACTCCGTATGTATATGAAATTTGTCTTTGAACTCTGTAAAGTAAAAAACCGTGACACTTCGAATTAAACTCATTCAAACATATATATTTAGTTCTCACGATTTACAAATATGTTGTTCAATTCTTATATATATATAGTATGAAACGTGTTTACATTTTTTGTGTTTTTTTTTCGTTTTTTTTTTGTTTCATAAAGTTTGAATGTACAATTATTAGCTAATATAATTTATTATCTTTATAATAATACTAATGATAATTCTAATTTTTAATCTTAAAATGTTTACTACTGGCAAAATTCGATGCCTTTTTATATATCTTTCATTTTTAATATCCTATTTTCTTTTACGCTAACACTTAGGACAGCGGTTAGGACATTCTAGCTAGGATAGTCCTAAGATAGCTTCGATGTGCATGCTGAGACATGTCGTAAGTCTGTCCTAACTTTATTCTTATTTATTCCTAAGATAGGTCTTAGGACAAATCCTAGGACAGCTTCGATAAACAGGCCCTGGTATGCTTCTGTTCCTTTTTCGTTTTTTTTAATAAGGAGTTTAAAAATATGAAAATAGATGAAAAAGGGTGAACCTGCCATTTCAAATCAAATTTAGTGCCACTGTCATATATGAGAATTCAATTGATCTTTTGGTTTTATGTCAGGATTAAAGGCCTTCAGTTGTATATGCTATCTGGATTTTATCTTATAATAATTTGTTTATAATTTCCTTTCATCCGGTTTATTGGAAATCCATTATGTTTTGATTTGATAGTCATAAGTTTCATTACTGACCGCATGTGCTATTTTGGTTCAATTCATAAAACATGGCCAAAGTTCATCAATAGTATTCCTAGTTCAAAAATTAACTCATTAAACAGCAGTAACTGTATAAAAATAAAATGGTTATTGCTTGGCAATACATTCGACTTCCTCTAGTACAAAATATATGAAAACAAATATCAATATAAGAAACCAGCTTGAACTTTGTCATTAAATACAAATATGAATGTCAATATGATTTTTTTAAACACCGGTCACGTATGATATGAAATTTGGGTTCTATTTAGAAATTTTGTAATGTAGCGGTATTTGCATGGCATATGTCATCTTTCAGTATGGTGAATTTTTCGAAATTTGTCGACTTTTATTTCAATTATAACTGATAGACTAAAAACGCGGCGTATCTAATATGAAAAATCAGTTTGTTGACTTGAGATTTGACATATTTTACTCGTTACACAATGTCCGGTTGTGAATTGATTGTTTCTTTGATTTTAAATCAGATGACTTTTGTTTAAACATAATATAACGATCACAGTCACTTAATTGTTAATTGTACGTCAGTTTGTATTGAAGAGTTTTAACAAACCCATTCACACATATAATATGTCCATCTTTTTAGATAAATTTGACAGATATGTTTATCCAAACATTTATTCCAGTATCAATTTGCAAGCAATAATCCATTCCACCTGTTCATATTCCAGGCAGGTGAATTTTGTCTGTTCCAAAGATTTACCAGTGAAGTAACGAGAATCACGATTGGCTGAGAGCTAAGCAATTAACAAAATTTTACATCATCTACAGATTAACCAAGACACAAGCAGTGACGACAAACCATAAACATCTTATTGTTTTTGGCATGGAATCAATGTTTATAATTATGTCCAATGTTCAAGTGTTTTGGGATTCTTTTGTTTTTGTTGTTTTGTTATGTGCCAATTTTAATTAAAACATTTTCTCATTCTTTAAGAGCGTACTTAACATTAGTTTCGAACAGTGAAAGTTAGCGCTATAGAAGTATGCTTTAATAACTTATCAGAACTATATTAATAATCATGTAAAGGAGATATTTTGCCATTCTTTGCATTGTATGGGATGGATACACATTTTAGAAAGTCAATTTTTGCGCCGAAAACTTCAATTGTACCAAAACTTTCGTCCGTTGGAAGGCGGAACGAGAATCGAATATGCATAAATGTAGGAGGTAGGAAGTTTGAAACCTACAAAACAACGTTAAAAGCTATTCCTGATACAAGACTGTCATGGTTATCTGAAAACAGAAGTCTCAATCCCGACTATGACCCAAGCACAGGAGAATACTTTTTTGATCGGCATCCCGGTATGTTTCAAATGATTTTAAACTATTACCGTACAGGGAAACTGCATGTGCCAATGGACGTCTGCGGACCGGCATTTGAAGAGGAACTAGCTTACTGGGGCCTTGACGAAACTCAAATAGAGCCGTGTTGTTGGAATTCCTATAGGTCACACAGAGATGCACAGGAAACTTTGAGGGAATTTTCTAATAGTGACAATGAAAATGACAGCGATGATGAAGAAGAAGTGGAAATGAGGGCACGATTTGGAATTTCGGATGATTTTATCGAAAAGGAAAAATCTTGTTGGGATAAATTGAGACCACGGCTTTGGAATTTTCTTGACAATCCCAGGGCTGATAGAGCTTCAAAGGTATAAATTAAATTTTTATTTTTTTAATGCATGTTTAACGTACTATCTACCGGTATTTGTCTCTTCTGCATGGAAATTCGTTCAAAAGATTTATTTTTGGTTTAGAATATTTAATTCTCAAAAAGATTGTATTGACGGATTACTGTCTTATGCATATTTTTCACTCATAATTATTTTGAATAAATTATCGGATCAATTTTATTTCAAAATGACACGTCACCATATATATGCTCAGTCATTTTATTTTGAGGTTACCCATTATATGTTTATTATTTTGCTAAATAAATCGAAAAACGAAAATTTCATACGTCTTATAAAGGTAGGTATTTAGTCTTTTTCATAGAGAATAGAAAAAGATGAACGAAACTCTTCTAATCAAAAGATATGTTAGGACAATTTTCTTCTTCCTGTTTTAGTCATTGATTGCCGGGGACGATCAAGCTTGTACATACATGTAGGACTTCAATGCAAAAATGTATCAATTTCATAATTGATTCCAGATAATTTCTGTAAATTTATCATTTCTAAAAATAATATTATAATTGTTACTTGTACGCTTTGTTTGAGGGATATTAATAATATTGACAATAACCGCAGACAATAATGTACACGATGTCTAATTAAATAAGTAAGAGCTTACAGATCTGTACAAGTGGTAATCCAAACCGGAAGTCGAAACCCAGACAAACAACTTGCCAATAGAAAAAGACGAATCGACAAACGACAGCCAACATTATACTTTTTTTTGGTAATTTTTTGTTTTATCTGCTCTTCAACGTTTTAATTAAGTTTTTAATTTTCAAATATTTTGGCCTCGAGCATCTATGAGGAGATATGAATTGTCGAAATGCGCATCGGGTGCAGTAAAATTGGTACCGGCAATATTATTCGTAGAAAATTGAATATTGAGAAACACATTTCCCACCATAATCCAGAGAAACCTGTATCCACTATCTATGTTTCGGCTTTCAAAATTTGAATTTTGATTGTCTTATAAAGCTAGTTTTGTTTTAAAGAAAAAGATCTACAAAAATATAAAATGTGAAGCACATGAAATGCACATGGTGTATGTTTCCAATTTTGGTGTTGATGTCATATCCTCGTAATTCCTTCTTAATATGTTTCATACTTTTTCAATGCCAAGCTCATTTAGAACTTTAAAATAGTCTATTATCATGAACTGTATGTTTAAGTATGGATGTTTTGTTTTGTTTTGTTTTATTGAGCCTTTGTGCAGCTATCTTATCGTCAAGAACCCCAAAATTACTTTTGTTTAAATGTCATACTTTGATCTACAGATGTTTAAAGTTTTTGATTGTTCTACTTGAAAGTTTTTGTCTGACTGACCTATATATAATGTCTTTAGAGACTTCTGTTTACATCATTATATAACAGGAAAGACTGCAGTTAAAAGTTGAAGCTCTAAACATGAAAACTTAAATAAATAAAAGGTTTAGACTCCAGGTTATTGAGAGCTAGACATATTGAATAGATACTTGTTTCATTTGTCTAAGATCGTATATTGATCTCTAGATCGTTTATGTTTTTGTCGTTAGATTGCTGCCTCGAAGACGAGGGTGTGGGTAGGGTTTGAAGAATCGAGAATAATGGTTAAAAAGAAATAAAAAAATTGGCCAAACACTCAAGAATAGAGAATAATGGGGTGCTAAAATATAGAAAGATAAGAGTTATGAAAAAAAAAATAGAAGGTTTTTCTCTAATTAAAGATTGGAGAAAAATGACCTAGAAAATTAAAGAATACAAAAAAATGAAGATTCTTAAACATTTGAATTATACCTCAAACCCACCTTTTATTCATACTAGTAAAATTCTCAAATAAATGTCTGAAATATGAAAATTACATAATAATGTCATTACGTGATTAATGTCTATGTTGCAATTGCTTACATTTTGTAGGATAGATAAAAAAAATATCCCTGACATCACTCTTCTGAAACAATTTGAAATGACGTATTAGCACCCAATACCTCGATAATGAAAGATAGATACAATGAAAGAATTTATACACATTAATAACAGTTTCTATGTCTTTGAAAACAACAAAAACAACCAGACAAAATGATGAATAAATGACTCAGACAGAAGGCTGTCAATGTAAACTGTTTTTACAATCATTATTCATTCAAAATCCTTAATTTGCACCTCGGAATTGACCTTTGTGCAATTAATATTTATATAACCTCCGAGAGGACTTGTCTGCACTTATCTTGTGCAGATATTGGAGAACTCTTGATTTTACTCATGTCAGTTTTTTTTTAATTTCAATTTATGTTAATTTATTAAAAAAAAAAAACATTCCGTTATTTAGTTTTAATTACATCAGTTAAATAATTCATTTGTGAAATTTTATTTTTAAAAAATGCATTGTTTAGTTTCAATTGCAGCAGTTAAATAATTCATATATGTTATTTTATTCCAAAAAACATTGCGTTAATTAGTTATTTTTCTTTCTTTCGAGGGCTTTACATGTATATATACACCTTATTACCGTCTACCACTACGGCAGATTTAATAGGTTCCGCCGATTGTCATTCTAAACAATTGTTTTTGCCATCGTGTACAGCAGATTTTGTCTGTCGTTCCGATTGCTATTGGAATACAATGGATTTTGCAATCGTGTACAGCAGAATTTTGTCTGTCGTTCCGATTGCCATTGGAATACAATGGATTTTGCAATCGTGTACAGCAGATTTTGTCTGTCGTTCCGATTGCCATTGGAATACAATGGATGTTGCAATCATGTATATAGCAGATTTTGTCTGTCGTTCCGATTGCCATTGGAATACAATGGATTTTGCCATCGTGTACAGCAGAATTTTGTCTGTCGTTCCGATTACCATTGGAGTACAATGGATTTTGCCACCGTGTACAGCAGAATTTTGTCTGTCGTTCCGATTACCATTGGAGTACAATGGATTTTGCCACCGTGTACAGCAGAATTTTGTCTGTCGTTCCGATTACCATTGGAATACAATGGATTTTGCCATCGTGTACAGCAGAAATTTGTCTGTCATTCCGATTACCATTGGAATACAATGGATTTTGCCATCGTGTACAGCAGAATTTTTGTCTGTCGTTCCGATTTCCATTGGAATACAATAAGTTTTGCCATCGTGTACAGCAAATTTTGATCTACGTTACATATTGCATGATCTGCAGAACCGTTAGTCGATAATATGATGTGATATATTCGGGAAATAAAACATATTTTTAGTCGACAAAAATAATTAAAACCATGCAAAAGATAAAAGAAAATCATAAAATGAAAATTAAAATGAATATAGGGTATAAATCTTATTAATCATAAAGTAGGTGTTTTTGAAAAATAAGTCAAACCTTTACAATTCATGTTTAAGGTTAGAACAAAAACGATAGCTTGGTGTACGTGTTTGGCAATCTTTGCATGAATTTTTATCGTAAACAACAAGAAAATATATGTGTCGAACTGAGGCGGATATAATGCAAATAATGTCTTATTTTGGTTAAAAGGAAGTAAATAAAGATGATTGGCGCCACCTAGATTTCACATCCAAGATAATAGGTAGAAGTAAATTTATTTTCTGCTGCCCTAGTACTTAGAAATCAAAATTGAAATAGTGAGAAATGAGTGTTTGCCATTGGTGTAGAAATAGCGAGAAATTTAGAGAAAACTCTCTGTGACGAGAAACGTTTTCTGTGCCAAATTAAGCAAGGGGTGTTCTTCATTTATACTATTTCGAAAATTCCGGAACCGTTGAGTACCCTTAAAAAATGCCATTTTTCTATCAAAAAAGCTGCGGCACCATACGTGTTTTGCAGTTTCAATTACACCCAAAGGTGTTGATAATTCAGATTTTGAATTTTTTTTCAATGGATCTTTGATAGGAAAAAAGGCAGGACCAAAAAAGGCTACCACTGTCGCCTATGTAAATAATTACTTCCTTGAAACCTAAAGCGAAATAACGATTTCTGGCGCATCACTGTAATTTTCGAGATATTTTAGAAATTGGAAAGGTAAACTAATAAGGTATTAAGTGATAAACTGTATCAGAAGAAATTTTCTGATCGCCATGAAACTATAGTCTTTATCAAATTTTTACTTTTTTTTTATTCTTCTGCCTAAGGGGTAGGGTTCATTAACCTACTGTAAGAACGAGAATTCTGTCAAGGACTCTGTCTTTAATCATTTCTCCTCATCCTCGATAACACTGCATGTATTAATGCATTTCTAAAAAAAGGGGGGGCTTATTTTTGCTGACTTTAGCGACATTTTTGTATTTTTAATGGTAAAAATGTGCCAAAATGCCCCTAAAATATTAAAATTAGGTAAAAAATCAAAGGCTATACATGTTTTTCCTTAGTATCGTCAATTGAATGTTCTGCACACGATTCATATAAAACACATAACAGCAATGATAAATTCTTAGTTTTAACATTTTTATAGTCTATTTCATAAAATATTTTGACTCTTATGCAACGGTGTTCATATATTCGTGATAAAGACATATAAGTTGGATACAGTTATCAAATCATCAGCCTTAAGTCTTTAATAGGCCTAAATCGAACTTTATTAATCAAACACCTCGTTTTAAACATAGCCAAACAGTCAAAATAAGCTGGTCAATGGCCCCACGTCTGTAAAAAGTAACGTTTTCTGCAAAGGGGGGATCCTGTAAAGAAAGTCATTTTAAATGGTGAACAATTGTATCTTTAATCCAAAAATTTGAACTTAAGTAGCAGGGGTATATAGTAATCGACTTATGTAAAGATTGTCCGATTTTATTTCAATATATGTCAGTATAGGTTAAAAGGAAGTAAATAAAGATGATTGGCGCCACCTAGATTTCACATCCAAGATAATAGGTAGAATGAAATTTATTTTCTGCTGCCCTAGTAATTAGAAATCAAAATTGAAATAGTGAGAAATGAGTGTTGGCCATTGGTGTAGAAATAGCGAGAAATTTAGAGAAAACTCTCTGTGACGAGAAACGGAGAAACGT